CAATTATATAAGAACAAACCATGAAACACGTTTTGGACAATTATGTAAGATTGCCTTTTTTACAAACCATGAAATATAATTTATAAGAATCTGCTTTTACAATCCATTAGAAGCACGTCTTGTCAAAGTCTTCTGAATTAGAGGGAGTGTCCGTTTCTAAGTGCTTTGGTGTGCCCGAGGGATGTCTTGTCAAAGTCTCTTCTTTTAAGAAATGTACACCTCTGACCCTTATAGCTCAATCCACCTGGAAGCAGTGTCGTCTTCCTCCTTTTTAAGCTTTAGACTTTTAATTTTACTTTCATGGAAGTGGGTCTTCATCGTCGGATCAATTATTCGCAATAAAGTTAATATGATTGATTGTGTTCACTGTAGTTCTGATTTCTTCTGCCATCCCTTCATCTTCAGTTTTTCTTAAATCTCAATACTTTCGCTCTGCAACCTCTCTAGAGTCTCACCCTTTTGGATATCTGCTAAAAATACTTGGAGGAGGTTTGGTTCAGAAAATATTAGATTATTGGGAATGTTAAATTACTGAAAATTTAGATTATTTCGAAAAGGACTAAAAATCTTTAGAAAAATATGTTTGATTAATTGGTGGGTATGTTATATTAATATTTTTGATTTGGAGGAATAAATTGATAGATATGTTATTTAAGTTACTGAATTGTATTCTAATTCAATATTATTATTATATTATTTTTTAATATTGATTATTATTTGGATTATTATAACCCCTTTGCACTTAAAAACATAGCAAAAACAACCTCATAATATAAGTTTGGAAAATCAACAAAGCACCCCTATCAACCCCGCCACTACCGGCGGTCGACAACCACCGCTGGCCGCCGGCAATCTAACGGTGCATGGAAGGCAGGAAATGGCCTCCGTGTTCCGTATGGCCATTTCCGGTCGAAGATCTGGCTGGAAATGGTCAGACATGACAGATCTGGCTATCAACGGCTAGATCCGACGATCTGGCAGTCAATAGCCAGATCGATGGTCGTTGAAGGCCAGATCGACACATCGATGGCCGTTGACGGTCAGATCTAGCCAGATATCTGGCAGAAAATGGTCATATCGGCGCACGATGGCCATTTTTGGCCTTCCGTGCGCCATTCTGGCGACGGTAGTTGCCGGTGCTTGGGGGTGGTGGCGTGGGTGGGCTAAAATTTGTTTTAAATTCAAGGGTAATTTTATCCAAAAAGTTAATTAATTGGGGTGAAATAGTAAAAGCATATTCATGTAAATAAATTTAAAAATAAGGGTATTATTATCCTAAAATTTTATTAATAAGGGATAGAATTGTAACAAAAAAGATAACCCATGTAATCTTAGAATAACTAAAAAAAATGGAGGTAATGAGATTACCTCCAATATTACCAATAGTAACCACTATTAGTATTTGAAGATTACCGGTATCTTATATTATTTGACAACCAAATATGATAATCAAGTAATATAAGATGATTTAACCCCAATAATCCCACATAACCCCCAACCAAACGCCTCTTGTTACTATCAAACCACTAAAAATACTTTTGCTCTCATTTTTATTTTAATTTATAGGAAACACCAGTATATTAAAATATAGTTTAAATATACAAAGGTGGTCTCGGAATCTACTGTAAAAGAATTAAATCTTTACAAAAATCTCAAAAACTTAACAAATCTCGGGTAAACAATGCAATATGAACACTAAAAAGAGAGATTACATCAGCCCATAAAACCACAAAAAACAGAAAACTCCTATCCGGTTATAGTAAATTAAAAAAAAAAAAAAGGAGCTATCATGCCGAACGCCAACAATAATGTTAGACGTACAAAAGAGTAAGAACTGCACATTTCAAAAAAGTCTTTGCCAGTTACAATACTCTTCGTAAGTAAACAAGGGAAACTCTAGGAGTTACAAATATCCATTTGACAGTTGATCTACCTTTTAACCCACAGTCTTCACCATCACCGCCCTCTCATCCATCTCACTTAGCTGACTCATTGAAGGGTATAAATCTCATAGTTGAACTTCCTTTTGATTCCCACTCACTCAACACTCACCCTATGCTCACTAGGTCTAAAGCCAAACTCCATAGTTCCATGTTAGCCTCCTCCACAGTTTCCTCTTCTACTCCTGATCCAACTGAACCTACTAGTGTCTATGAAGCTCTCAATCATCCTTCCTGGAAAGATGCCATGCAGAGTGAGTTTGATGCCTTGCAATCCAACAATACTTGGGAACTTGTCCATACTAAACCTAACATGAACATAGTAGGCTGTGAGTGGGTTTTTCGGGTCAAACAAAATTCAGATGGTTCTATCCAAAGGTATAAAGCAAGGTTAGTGGCTAAAGGTTTCCAACAAACTCCTGGAGTAGATTATCTTGAAACCTTCAGCCCGGTTATTAAATCAGCTACAATTTGAGTTGTATTGAGCCTAGCTATCACCTATGGTTGGGATATTCAGCAGTTGGACATTAACAATGCCTTTTTAAATGGTGAGTTAAGTGAGACAATCTACATTATCCAACCTACAGGATTTGTTGATGCCCAAAAACCTCTGCATGTATGCAAGTTAGTTAAAGCCTTATATGAGTTAAAACAGGCTCCTAGAGCCTAGTTTGAAAAGCTGAAAACTGCATTTCTTCAATAGGGTTTTGTGTCTTCCATAGCTGATTCATGTCTGTTCGTTTATAGACTGAATAGTCAAACATTGTATGTTGTTGTTTATGTGGATGACATACTAATAACAGGAAGTGATTCTGAGTTGGTTGAAACTATGGTTCAGAAATTGAAAGTTGAGTTTGCATTGAAAACTCTAGGATCTCTTAACTATTTCCTGGGTTTTGAAGTTTATAGAATAGCCTCCAGCATTCACATGAGTCAAGCAAAATATGCTCAAGATCTCTTAGTCAAAACAGGAATGATGGACTGCAATCAGTGTTCCACTCCTATGGCAGTAGGCAACAAGCTTACTCTTGAAGACAGTGAATGTTTTGACAAACCAGGCTTGTATAGAAGTATAATCGGGGCCCTACAGTATTTGACACTATCTCGGCCTGACATTGCTTATTTAGTAAATAAGCTAAGTCAGTTTCTTAAGGCCCCTACTCAGCTTCACTGGTAGGCCTGCAAGAAACTCCTTAGATACATCAAAGGGACTATGGATTTTGGTGTTACATTTCAAAAAATTCATAGATTTCACTTAGACTGCTTTACCAATGCTGACTGGGCAGGTTGTATCCAAGATAAGAGATCTACAAGTGGCTGTTGTTTATTTCTTGGTCCAAATTTGCTTCAGTGGAGTTCAAGGAAACAAAGAGTTGTAGCTCTATCCTCCACAGAAGCTGAATATCGTGCCCTTGCACAAGGAGCCATAGAAATAGCCTAGTTTAGAAGTCTCTTCTCTGAAATGGGACTGATTCTTCACACTACACCCATCATTTGGTGTGACAATCAGAGTGCTGGATCCTTAGCCTCTAATCCAGTGTTTCATGCAAGAACCAAACACATATAATTGGATGCTCATTATGTTCGAGAGCAAGTTGCAGCCAATTATCTCAAAGTCCAATATGTACCCACTGATTACCAAAAAGCTGACATCTTCACCAAAGCATTGTCAACCACCAAGTTTGAGGCACTTCGGGACAGATTGACTGTTGTGACTAGTTCTTCTAGTAATACAGATGCTAAATCTGCCAATGATAATACTGCTACTGCTGATAAAATTGTTGCTAATACAAAAATTGGTGACACAGTTAGCTGTGGATGAATCTGCTTTCTTGTTTTTTTTTTTTTTTTACTAATTTGTCTTTTGTTTAGTACTGATTCAGAAGTATTGTGATGCATGGAGTTGTATATTTTGTGGTATGATGAAGGAGTTGCTTCAGGAGTATTGTAATGCATGGAGGTATATGTTTTGTTGATGACTCCTTGATGTATCTGACTAAGTTGTTGTCTGTGATCTGATTGTAGAAGTTCTAAACATAATGGGAAGTGTTGGAAAATACAGAGAAAAGAGTGTTTCAGTTGTAGTACTACATGAAGTTGGATGAGTGTTTCTGTGATCTTAGTTGCCTGTATCGGTTTGACTGTTTGAGGTGGCTGTTTTAGTTGCCTATTCAGTTTAGGTGTTTCAGTTGAGTTTATTTGTATCATTCAAAAGGAAGATTTGATTCAGAGTTTTATGGAAAATAGAGGATTAACTCAGTTGATTTTGAAGAAAAACAGAGGATTAATTTAGCTGGTGTATGAGATTTTGAAAAAAACAGAGGATTGATTTGCTGGTGTATGAGATCTCTGATAGTTCGATTCAATTGAAGTTTGAGCAGAAATGATTCAAGATTCCCAGGTTCAGTTCAAGGGAAGATGTTAGGAAAAGGGTAAAAGTGTCTGCCTGCAAAGGTTCAAAATTCCGAGGTTCAGTTCAAGGGAAGATGTTAGTAAAGAAGTAAAAATGATTCTCCCAAGTTTAGTTTAAGGGAAGATGTTAGTAAAAGGGTAAAAGTGTCATTTGTCAATACTGTTAGTTGTTACATTTCTATTAAGCTTTCAGTTAAACTGTAACAAGATTAGTTAGAGTATTGTTACACTCATGTAAACACTACAAAAGTGTACAGAAAAACAAAATGTATTAACTGAAAAAGAAATTAGAAAAGTAACACAAAACTATTCAGCTCTCATTTTCTCTCTCTCGTTTTCTTCTGTTTGTTCCAGTTTGTTGCTAACTCTACTCAAAACATCATAATCTTAAATCATCATGCGGCACAATATTAAAAAAAAGAGATGTATTTAAAGGAAATTATAAGAATGATTTGGTTTGATTGCCTTTAGAAGACTTTATAATTAATTGCTTTCTTTAAGATTTCAGTCACTTTACCTAAATAGATATATGCAATGCTGGAACAAACAATGAGAATCATTAAGTTACTTGTGATGCTTTTTGAAAAGTTGGAAAGTTCAAATATCAAATTACTATTACGTAGAGACTATTTTGAGGACACAAGTAGAAACTTAATGCTCAATTAACACAATACCTTCAACATAGGATAAGATACAACCAGAAACAAATTAATTATTTTGTTACATTGCCACACTTGCTTGAAATCAAAGGATTAGTCTATTGAAAACGTGGTACTATCCAAAAACGATCCAGTACACAATGAACTGGTTTCTAGTTGATTGTTTGTGTCACCATCAACATATTCGATATCGTCACAATTTTCTTTCAAGATTGAAGCTTCGTTGGATGTTCTAATACCTGCTAACTTTGTTTCTACTTCTCTCATTGTAGGTCTCTTCCTCCCATTTAAGTTTAGACATCTTCTTGTGAGATTAGCAAATGCCATAATCTCTTGTTCTCTACCATCCTTCAAAGCCCGAGCATCAAGGATTTCAAACAAACGATTTTCTTTCATTATCTGAAGAAAATAGAATGCTAAACTTTTATCTTCTTCTAAGTTAGTTGAACGAATAGGTTTTTGTCCAGTTAAGAGCTCTGCAAGAACCACTCCAAAGCTATAAACATCACTTTTCTCTGTAAATTGACTTGATCGAAAATACTCCGGATCAAAGTATCCAAAGGTCCCATGCACTTGAGTGGTCAAATGAGTCTGGTCAACTGCAATAGATCTTGAAACCCCAAAGTCTGAAATTTTTGCTCGATATTTTTCATCCAATAGTATGTTTGATGACTTAATATCTCGATGATATATAGGTAGAGAAGCAGATGAATGTAGGTAAGATAGAGCACCTGCAACTTCTATGGCAATACATAGGCGTAAGTCCCAAGTGAGTGGAAATTCCTCATTTTGCTCATGTATATACTGAAAAAGAGTTCCGTTAGGAATGAATTCATAGACTAAAAGGGGAACTTCAGTCTCCAAACAACACCCTAACAATTGAACCACATTCCTATGATTAATCTGTGACAAAATTACCACCTCATTGATGAATACGTCAACTTTACTTTCATCCACTTTCTTGGGCCTTTTAACAGCTATAATTTTTCCTTCCTCCAACATTCCTTTATACACAGTGCCTTGACCTCCTTCACCAAGGATACGATTCGCATTGTAGCTGTCAGTTGCCTTCTCCAATTCATTTGCGGTAAACAATTTTGGTTTCTCAATGTTGCCGTCATCGGAAGACATGCGTCGCTGTAATAACAAACCACCATTTTTTTTAAAGAATTTTTGCTTAAGCTTGTTTGCTTTCCTTCTTTTAACGAACTTGTACAACCACCATGCTCCGATTCCTAGCAACAGCATCCCAAGCCCAGAACTGCAACCTACACAACTCAAGTGTATATATATATATATATATATATATATATATATATATACTTATAATCAAGTTGTTGATCACTTGATAACAATATTTTGATGAATATGTTCTGGATATGCATACCTATGATGATAAAGATTTTATTCCCGGGAATTTTTGATGAGTAACATATGAGTTCCTTATCACCGTTATGAGAAAATATGGACGTATAACCACCGGGACAGTTGGAGCAATCGTTGTGGCTTGTGATAGTACAGAACAAGTTACCTATACAAAACATAGGTCAATTAAGAGAGAAACTATCAAATCAGATCACCAAAAAATTGAAAATCCTACAGAAGAAATGCAAACATGAAGCCTTTAAATTTGACTAATATTACTTTAATTTAAATTCATTGTTTAAATCCGTACCTGTGCAGCCTGATTCATCGTGTTTTTCTTTTGGCTGACTGCAGACACAAAAAAAGCCTGACTTTAATTGTGTTAAACAAAAACCATCTTTGTTACAATATGTTTTCCGGGATTTATATGGTTCCAAACATTTCCCCATGTATCTTCCGAATTCTATCACTACAGGAAAAAGCTCTCTTTCTTTCGAAACATTGGCATTGGTATTGGCTAGGTAGTTTGTCATGAGCCAATCTTGCTCAACCATGAGGGCACCTGTGCAGTTCTCGGGAACTGAAAAAGCCTGAAGACTTGAAGAAATGGTGCACATCAAATCATAGCATCTTTTATCTTTAGCAGGATCACATGTACAAATAGGCAGACACCTAGTTTTTGACTTGATTTGATGTCTTTTGAATGTCGTGGTATAACTATTACAACCAGTGGCCATGAACTTATTGAGCTTATGTGAAAAGTAAAACGGCGTTCTTGACAGGTTTTCAGCTTCCAATGTATTCACATAAGCTCTTAATCCATTGGCCATCCCTTTGCTTCGACGAGAGACGTCTTCTGCTAATTTCAGGTTCGTTCTACTGAGGAAAGGTACTGGAGAGCCCGAAGAGTTGTCACAAGTTACTGCAAACCATTCATCGTAGTAGCAGCCTTCTCCAATTCCAAAGGGATATCTTATTTCGCTGACATTACCACAACTCGTTGGACAATGAATTGCTGATGCTTTGATTGCCCAGACTAACAAAATTATGGTATGCAACAACAAGAAATGAAGATGAACAGCCATAATTAGTTAATCCTGACTGCACCTCTTCTTTGAGAAATTTGATGGAGATTCAACATAGATGTTAGCTCTATATATAGATATTGAGTTAATTGCATGCACCCCCTCAAAGTTTTGTAGTTTAAAATGCTGGGATATACCACTTGATTGTAACAAATTTTAAGAATATAAGAACGTCAAGGGGCAGATTCTGGGCTTTTAAAATTGAAATAATATCAAAATGAGGGTTANCTTAATCCATTGGCCATCCCTTTGCTTCGACGAGAGACGTCTTCTGCTAATTTCAGGTTCGTTCTACTGAGGAAAGGTACTGGAGAGCCCGAAGAGTTGTCACAAGTTACTGCAAACCATTCATCGTAGTAGCAGCCTTCTCCAATTCCAAAGGGATATCTTATTTCGCTGACATTACCACAACTCGTTGGACAATGAATTGCTGATGCTTTGATTGCCCAGACTAACAAAATTATGGTATGCAGCAACAAGAAATGAAGATGAACAGCCATAATTAGTTAATCCTGACTGCACCTCTTCTTTGAGAAATTTGATGGAGATTCAACATAGATGTTAGCTCTATATATAGATATTGAGTTAATTGTATGCACCCCCTCCAAGTTTTGTAGTTTAAAATGTTGGGATATACCACTTGATTGTAACAAATTTTAAGAATATAAGAACGTCAAGGGGCAGATTCTGGGCTTTTAAAATTGAAATAATATCAAAATGAGGGGTATTTTAGTAGGTAATCATTAAAAATGATCTCGATTAATCGATTATATAAATGTTTGTTGAATTCAAAGGGAATAAATCATAAATAGTTAAGTCTCAATAAATTAATACTTAATAAATTAATAATCTCAATTAAATAATATTTTTGGCTTGTCCCGACTTGGGACTAATGTGGTAAATTAATATTTCGTTAAATTTATAAGATAATATATTTAAAAAGAAATACATAGGTACCACTTGATATATAAATTAATAACCCCCTTATACATCAAAATTTTATATATATACTTAATTAGAGGAGATATTTGTAAAATATGACTCTAATGTTACTTGTTTTTTTTGTGTAAAATTGATGTCTTCTTGGACCTCATCTCTAACTTTTCTTAGTGTATTAAGAAGCTCTAATGTAGTATTCTCGTTAAACTACGCGATTTGATTATTGCTTTGAGTGCAACTTTTCGCAAGACAAACTCCAATACAAAATTATCGTCTTCAACTTCATCTTAACTATACATAATATGTATACGTATTACGTTTATTGTTTTGGAGAAAAAAAAATGCCTCGATAAATTAATAATTCATTAATACCAATGATTAAATAATATATCAATTAATTAATAAATTTTTATGGTTTCAAAATTATTAATTTATCAAAATTTAATTTTATATTACAATGTAAGTCCTAGATCATGATTGACCAATAATCTGTCCCACGAAGAAAGATAAAACAAATAATTGAGGTTGGTGTGTCAAAAAGCTTAGACAAAATATTTGTTTAACAGAAAATAAAATGATTTTGAAATTATTGAATAGGTGATGTCATCCTTGTGATGCATGAGTCGATTTTGAAGATAACTGCTGTTAATTAAATTTCAGCCCTTGGATTGATATGGAAAAAAGGTATGAAGGTTTTTTTTTTTATTTAATTTAATAAAGTTGAAAAAGACTGAAAGGATTTTTGTCATTTGTTGTTGCCGGAGACACTATTCTCAGAAATTTCTGTTACTTTAGGTGTGTTTTTTTTTTCTTTTATGAATTTTGTCTATCTATTTTATGTATTTTTAAAAAAATATTAAAAATGATTTTAAAACATAAAAAATTAAAAACACGTTCGATATGTTTGTCTGAAAATGATATTTCAAAATGTGAAAAATGGAAATACGCTAGACATATTTGTCTAAAAATATAAAGAAAACAAATAAAATTTATTACTTTGACAACGGATAAAATCCTCATAAATTATCACTTATTTTATTCATATAAAAAAACTTATCATAAATACACAAGTGTTTAATTTCTATTAACAATTCTCTGTTGAACTGAAAGTTTTTACGTTAAGAGGGAAAAGAGTAAAATATAAAAGAAAAAAAAAAAAATATATATATATAATAACTATTTTATTGAATATTAATTTTTAATTGGAAAAAGTGTAATGAACTTCATAAATAGGATTTATTGAGAATTGATTTTAGGAATCCCAAATCCAAAGCTCAAAAAACGAGTGAAAAGACAGATATTTGTTTAACAGAAACTATAATGTATTTGTATAAAAGCTTCTATCTTTATTTAGTATGAACCTAACTTAATTTAGGTACATTACACTTAGATTTTTATAAATGTTAGTCGGCAATTATTTTATATGCTTTGGGCATGTTAATTTATGTTAACGGGCCAAACTGTTGATGTGTGATTTTGACACCAATGACTCGTATATATAAAGCGTTAAGTTATTCTTAAAAATTACAAGTGAATAATTCATGAAAAGTATTTATGGTGCTGAGATTATATATGTTTACAGAAACATAAATAAAAGATTGATAAGAGATATTTTTATAGTGGTTCAGATGCTTAAAGTGAATTCTACTTCCACTGTTATTTTATTATTCTCTAACTATTTTTCTGATATTGCTTGTAAGACATATAAAAATAGAGAAATGCTTTGTTTATAGAAAAAAATAATAAAACTCAAATGTTTGTCTAACTCTCATGTACCTATCCAGCCCATTTTTCATGAAGAGAGGTGTCTATTTCTACACATTTGAGCTCAATGTAATAAGTGTTTTTGCAAGTTGTCTTGACACGTGGAGACCACTCCTTAATTCTTATCTTTAAATGGGATAAGATCGATATAAAATATCTTCTAGAGACGGTTTGGGTTTTTCATAACTAATACCATCTTATTTTTAAATGCTTGTTGAACTCTGATTGATAATACCGACATGAATGCGTATGCATGACTAGACATTAACTATAGGTTAATGCATTATATACTCTGATACAGGGCATATCTTGTTAAATAAAAATTAGTACTCTTGAATCTTGATGTCAGTGCTGACATCACATGCATGGCGGCGTTCCACCATTAAGGTATGTGGGTCCCTGATTCCGGTCCCAAGTAGAAAGATAAATAAAGTAACAAATAATTGAGGTTGGTGTGTCAAAAAGCTTAGGCAAAATATTTGTTTAACAGAAAATAAAATGTACATAAAATATATTTTAATGTTCACGGTTAGGAATTAAAGTTGAATCATGCACTTGGATTTTGAAATTATTGAATAGGTGATGTCATCCTTGTGATGTATGAATGGGTTGATATGGAAACAAGGTACGATTTTTTTTTTTTTAATTTAATAAAGTTGGATAAAATTTGAGGTGGGTTCTTGTTGAATGGAAGGATTCCTTATCCGCTGGTGAAGCACTCGGTTCAACTCAATTGAATCTGACTCTGATATCATGATATAATTTAAGGTGAGTCTGACTCTTTATCCAATAAAGTTTTGTTAAATGAGAGGATTACACCCTCTTATAAACTAGTAGGCTTGAACGTGTTTATTCGGTGTGATACTTCAACAAAGTCGAAAAAGATTGAAACCATTTATGCCATTTGTTGTTGGAAGAAAAGTATTTGGAGAAGTGGCTTTGCTTAATTGTTTTCTAGTTTCCCAGAGACCTTACTTGCTTTTCTTAGAAATTTCATTAAAGAAAGGGTTTATCAAACTTTCTCTTACTTTACTAAATATAAATTTGTTGGCACAGTGAGTCACCACGGTCAACCAAATATTCTCAATAATGGTCATCAGGTCCCGTGAATAGAAACTAAAGAGATAATGGACTCAATGGACAATAAAGAACAAACCATGAAACACGTTTTGGATAATTTATAAGAATCTGCTTTTACAATCCACTATAAGCACGTATTGTGAAAGTCTTCTAAATTACAAAGGATTAACGTTTCTGAGTGCTTTAGTGTGTCCGAGGGACGTCTTGTCAAAGTCTCTTAATTTTACTTTCATGGATAATTGGATATTGACTTGATGGGTCTCCACTGTCAGATCAATTATTCACAATAAAGTTAATATGATTGATTGATGTTCACTGTAGTTCTGATTTCTTCTACCATCTCTTCATCTTTAGTTTTTCTTAAATCTCAATACTTCCACTCAGAAACCTCTCTGAGACTCTCACTGCTTTCAGATACCCACTAAAAATACTTTTACTATCAAACCACTAAAAATACTTGGGCTCTGTTTGGTAAATAGTTTGGGAAAACTATTAGTAATTTCCTAATAAAGTTCAACAAAATATTTGTGTTTGGTTCATTTATTCTCAAAATATTATTATAAATTATTCAATTTCTTTTAAATCCCCTAAATTTGTTAATTTAACTAAACAATCCCATTTTTTTTTAAAATTGACAAAAACATCCCAGCAACCCACATTTACCAGATTTCAGCCACCACTGCCAAAAACTGATCGGAATCTAGTATAATGGTACACTATTGGCTGAATCTGACCGGTAGTACGTCGATCTAACCTTTTCCAGTCAGATCCACGGCGGATCTAGCCGGAAAAGGCCAGATCTACAGCTAAAGATCTGGTTGTCCACGGCCAGATCTTTGGTCGTAAACAGTCGTTAACGAAGGGAAAAATATGGTCGTCGTTGACCATCAATGATGACCGTATCTTCGGCCATCATTGACGACCAAATACGATCAAATCTAGTCGTCAATGACCAGATTTAGCCGAAAATGCCAGATCCACCGTGGATTTGGCCGAAAAAGGCCATATCGACGCACAACCAGCAAGATCCAGTCGGTCATGCGTAGATATGGCGACTTCGGCCACTTTCTGGCGGTGGTGGCCAGCTGTCTGTATTTAATGAGTGGGTTGGGGGTTTTTTTTTAACTTTGAATATTTTATTATAGGAGTGTTTAGTAAATAAACAAACATAGGGGGTATTTTTTATTAATTTTCAAATTCTACATCGTAATACCCACCCAATTTAATTTTTTTCAAAATATTATTCTAAAAACTATAAGAATAATGAACCAAATGGATCCATAGTTTAAAGATACAAAGGTGGACTCGGAATCTACTGTAGAAGAGTTAGATCTTTACAAAGATCTCAAAAATCTAAAAAATCTCGAGTAAACTATGCAATATGAACACTAAAAAGAGAGATTACATCAGCCCATAAAACCACAAAAAACAGAAAACTCCTATCCAGTTATAATAAATTTAAAAAAAAAGGAGGTATCATGCTGAACGCCAACAATAATGTTAGACGTACAAAAGAGTAAGAACTGCAGATTTCAAAAAAGTCTTTGCCAGTTACAATACTCTCCATAAGTAAACAAGGGCAACTCTTGGAGTTACCCTCTGAATTTTTACTTCAATGCATAATTTAGCCTACAAGAAAGCTGCCACTAGGCGGCAATGGAGGAACAAGTGGTTAGAAGTTTCTTCATTGTTTTGACATGTAACACACCGTGAAGCAGAAAGATTCATTATTTGGTCTGAATAATTTCTACTGTCTCCTCATGGCATTTATAAAAACATCAATTCTAATAATTTACTTGGAGTTTGAAGTCTTTGTAAATACAGTATTATGCTTTTTGACATACATTGAAAATAATTTTAGTACCCCTATATTGAATATTAGCAAAGGCCTGGTGATAATTATATACGCATGCTTATTTTATTTCTGTAGAATTAGCAATAGTTGGAAAGTTCAAATATCAAATTACTATTACATAATGATAAACTATTTTCTAAAAGATATTTTGAGGACACAAGTAGAACTTATAACACAATACATTCAACATAGGATAAGATACAACCAGAAACAAATTAATTATTTTGTTACATTGCCACACTTGCTGTAGAACTTAATGCACACAATACATTCAACACAGGATAAGATATATACAACCAGAAACAAAATTAATTATTTTACTACATTGCCACACTTGCTTAAAAACAAAGGCTAGTGATATTATCCAAAATCGATTCATCAGTAACAGATGAACTGGCTTCAAATTCAACTTCAGATGTTATCTCAATCTTAACACAATCATCCTCTTCAGGATTTTGATTCGAGATTGAAGCTCCGTTAGATGTTCTAATACCTGCTAATTCTGTTGCTACTTTTCTCATTGTAGGTCTCCCATTTGAGTCTAGACATCTTCTTGTGAGATCAGCAAACTTCATAATCTCCTGTTCTTTGTCATCCTTTGAAACTCGAGCATCAAGGATTTCAAACAAACGATTCTGCTCCATTTTCTGAAGAAAGTAGGGTGCTAAATCTTTTACTTCTTCTGAGTCAGTTGAATGAATAGATTTTTGTCCAGTTAAGAGCTCTGCAAGAACCACTCCAAAGTTGTGGACATTAACTGGAATAGATCTTGAAGTCCCTATATCTGAAACTTTTGCTCGATATTTTTCATCCAGTAGTATGTTTGAAGACTTAATATCTTGACGATATATACTCATAGAAGCAGCTGAATGTAGATAAGATAGAGCACCTGCAACTTCTATGGCAATACGTAGGCATAAGTACCCAGTGAGTGGAAATTCCTCATTCTCATTTTGGCCATGTATATACTGAAAAAGAGCTGCATTAGGAATGAATTCATAGGCTAAAAGGGGAAATTCAGTGTCCAAACAACACCCTAAAAATTGAACTACATTCGAATGATTAATTTGTGACAAAATTCCCACCTCATTGAATACATCAACTCTTTCAGCCACTTGCTTGAGCCTTTTAACAGCCATAATTCTTCCTTTCTCCAACATTCCTTTATACACAGTGCCTTGACCTCCTTGACCAAGGATTTGATTCTCATAGTAGCTGTCAGTTGCCTTCTCCAATTCATTTTCGGTAAAGAATTCAATGTTGCCGCCATTGGAAGACTTGCGGCGTTGTAGTAACAAACCACCATTTTTCTTAAAGAATTTTTGCCTGAGCTTGTTTGCTATCCATCTTTTAAGGAACTCGTGCAAACACTGCGCTCCACTGGATATGGACAACGTTCCAATCACAGAACTTAAAATCGCAGAACTTAAACCTGCAGGTCCTGCACAACTCAAGTACAAGAACATATATATATATGTATATGCATATAATCAAGTTATTGATCATTTGTTAACAATATTTTGATGGATATGCATACCTACGGCTCCACCGAGACTTCCCGACGTATTGGAAGGTTGTGGTAGAAATTGAGTTACTCTATATATAGAAATTGAGTTGACCAAATTTTAAGAATATACATAGTCAAGGGGCAGAATCTGGACTTTTAAAATTGGAATAATATCAAAATGAGGGATAGTTTAGTCTGTAAACATTAAGATGATCTCAATTAATCGATTATATAAATGTTCGTTAAATTCAAGAGAATAAATCCTAATATACTTAAACCTCGATAAATTAATACTCAGTAAATTAATAACCTCGATTAAATAATATTTTTGGCCGTTCCCGCCTTGAGATCAATGTGGTAAATTAATAATTTGCTAAATTTATAAGATAATATATTTAAAAAAAAAAAAAAAAACACATAGGTACCACTTGATATATAAATTAATAATCTCCTTATACATCAAAATTATATATATACATGATTCAATCGGCCAATAGTAGTTACAGATACCCTACATTTAGCAACTAAAATGCAATTAGTCGGCAAAAGGGGGATAAAATTTTGAGGGCCATTTATTTTCACGTTTGATGTCTAAAATTAATATTCTGTGACTATTTGATTAATTGCAAAACAATTTACATTGGCGACTAATTTATTTAGTTTGCAATTTTTGTGTGGAAATTTTTCCCGATAAAGCAGAACATTTGGCATCTAAATATATATAATTGCGTATCTAAAATTTTGGTTATAAAAAACAATTATTGACAACTACACTATTGTAGCAAAATTAGTTATAGAATAACAAAATTATGAAAATATCCAAATTTTTGACAATAATTACAAAAGGTCCACGGTATATTTAGCAACAAATTATTTTGTGCATATTAAAAATAAATGCAAAAATCGTCTATAACAATTAACAAGTTAGCAACTGAATTGGATTTAGTCGCCAAAATTAATTGAAGTTTCAAGTTCCCATCCAATTTTTATTCCTCGCCAGAGGAAATTTGGAAACTTAAAATTTTAGTTACTAAAGTGGGTTTACAAAACATGAAATATATTTATGGTAACCGAAAAATTAGTTTATTAAAAAAAAAAAAAAAAAAAGAGTAGAAATGACCAAAATTTTAATTTATTTACTAAAAACCCATTCCTATGGAAACCCAACCTAATTCCCAATCCGTAATTCCCCATTTTCCCCTTTCAATTTGCGCGCATCTTCTCTTCTTCACTCACTACTCCAGTCCATTCTCCTTCTCGGCTTCCTTCATTCATTCATTCAATCTTCTTCTTCCATAGTACACTCTTCTCCACCATCTTCTCGTCCGGTTCCAGTCCGTGTTTTGAAGTTCACAATTGTAAGTAAACCCAACCTATTTTCATGAGTATGTTTCATTTTATCGCATGCCAGTTGGGATTTTGTATGTAATTTTCTTTGACTTCTTGTACTTCTCATGACAAACTGTTATTTTAATGTTTATTGGCGATGTGCTAACTGCTAAGTAGGCCAGAGAAAAGATCGCGACTCTCTTTCTAATTCCTGTTTTTCCACCTCCATTGTCTTCCTTCACCTCTGAAGCCCATTCACTAAAATCCTCCACGTTAAAGTTAAAAGGACCAATAAGTTAGGGATCTAAATCTTCCATAATCATCATATTTGTCTTCAATACTCTGTTATTTATTATTTAATTTGTTGGGAGTAGATTATATAGGTTGAATATTAATGATACTAAAGTTTGAGAGAATATATGATCTGAGGAGAGATGGGGCAGGCACCTGGAAGCTTGATTGAGAAAGATGTTATGGAAATTGTAGTGGTTGATATGTAATATGAAAGATGTGGCGATTGTGTGTAACAGCATGATGAGTTTGTAATGGTTTAGTTCTCTTTATGTTTGTTCTTCATACATGGTGATAGATATTCTGTAACATCAATTGTGGCCGTGAAAATTTAAAAACGATGATTGATGACTGTTCTTCTTGGTTGAACAAAGCACTTTTACTGGGGACTTAGGATTAACAAAAGTAACTTACTATTAACATTAATTTATTGCATTAAATCAAAAAATTGGTCAGAGTATTTGTTTAATTTATTGCATTAATTTTGACATTTTAAAACTTCTTTGACGTGTAAATCTAAGAGAATAATTGAAATAAAGAAGCCAGATGTTAACAAAAATCTCTTATTTGTCTGGTTGGTTGTTTGACTGGTTTTATATTGCCTTGGGCCTTGTGGAGATTTCCTGATGAAAGTATCTTGTGCTTTTTGTACCTAATGCAGGGAAATCATGTATGTGAAGTCCCTGATGGCCACAAATTGAAGATCACTTCTGGAAATTCAGGTCTTAATGATTTGATAACTTGGCATTTCTGAAATATTTGTGTGCTTTTTCTGCCAGTAAACTGAATCATAGAACATATCACTTCAATTGACCTTATGTTAATATATCATTTCAAATCTGTCTGCATCAGTCTGCCTCTCGAGGAATGCATATTTACAGTACAGAAGTGTATGGTCTGTATAGCGTAATATTTGTTCCTCTTCATCTAGGATATGTTTCAAAAGGAAGTGAGTTTATTCTTGTCGTTTGGTATTGGTGCTATGTGGCGAAGCATTAGGTCAGACCTTAAGATTTATGCTATACACATAGTATCTCATAGTTGTGTGTGGAAAATAATTTAATGTGCTTTAAGAATTTCTGAAATTTTGTTCTTATTCTCTGGCTTACTTCTGCAATTGTCCCAACTGTTTAAAAAAAGGTTACGATGAAGCTTCGCTGTAAATACATATCTTTACAGATATTTAAGGATTTTTACCATGTCATTAGTCTTTCCTTTATAAAAATTTGTGGTTTCCAAGAAAAAGAAACAATTTTGGGGTAAAAGGTAGTTCATATTTTTTTTTGTTTATTCCACTTTTTTAGTATATTTTTTGAAACCAAATTGACTGCTATCCAGATTGACTCTCTTCTTCTTAATAGTTAAATTAAGGGTAAAAGGTAGTTCACTTTAAAGCTTCTTAGTTGTGAAGGTTAGTATGGTGGAGTTTTTTCAGTTTTGGGGTATACTGATTTGCTTGAATTGTGTTAGAATTGGTGGAACTAAGTAAGAAATTTAAGTTTTGATATACTCATATACATGACTGTGCAGATTGTTGTGTTTGAAATGATTGAACTTTTTATGAAGTTGAGTTTTGGGATATGTCATTAGTTTGGTTGTGTAGATTATGTTAGAAATTATTGAACTATGAAGAAGTTGAATCTGCGAGTTATCCATTTGCTTGATCGCTTGATTGTGCTGGAAATGATTGAACTTTTGGAGTTGGCCCTTGCTTTTCTGAGGCAAACAGAGGCAACGGCTGTCATGAAGCAGGAGCTACCTGAAAGATACTTAAGATATGAGCATTTTCGAACTTACTTGATCCACACAAGGTTAAAAACTAGTTTTCGTGTAATTTATGTGATTTATCATGAGTTTTTGAAGCCAGGCTTCCTGCAATTTATTATGATTTTTTAACGTTTGAGTTGAATGTGGAGGGATGCAGTGGGACTTCACTCTTCTACGTGAACTTTTGGATCTTGGTTTCGTTTATTTTCTATGGCTAATGATTATATATGTGAAAATTCAGAGAATGGATCATGATTAGCCAATGATTAGAAAGTGTTGAGTGACTTTTAAGACTAGAAATGTTCTTAAATCTTATTTGATCTGTTTTTTCTTTCGCATGTTTGAAGATGGTCTTATCTAAATGACAGGCTTATTTAGCTACTCTAAAGTAAAAAACAATATAAGAATCGGAATTAAGAGAACTTAAGTTTTGTTAGACCTTCTAAGATTGTACAGAGTTAATAAAATCTTATCATAAACTGGATGGAAAATTTGGAATGAACTCCTCATTGGTTAATCATTTTCATTTAAAGAGTGCCAAGGAGGTGAATTTAAGCAGCCGGGGATCAAAATTAAGATATTTATGAGAAGCAATAAGCAAAGCATTTAAAAACCTTCCTGCGAATGTTAATTATAAATGCTGTCTACGGCCTGTCTCTTTTCTTAATAAATTTGCTTCTCCATTTCCAGCTCTTGCTGCTGAAGTTTCTGGTGTTCCACCATCACGGTTAATGGCCTTATTGTTCAGGCCTTGAAATTGCAGCACCACCAAGGTTTTTAAATGCTGGAAATTATTGTATGGACTGCTCTTCTAAATCTTTAATCCTATTTTGCTGTTGTTCAACTTTGCGCCTTAACTCTGTTACTTATGATGTATCATGCTGCTGAGTCACACAAAATGCAAAATTTTGGTTGAGATCGGAAGCTTTACCAAGCACTTCCTCACATATTTCAGCTTCAGTTCTTTCACTTTCCATCTTGCATCTCAATCATTTTCTCCTACCATCAATAAAATACATGAGGAGCAATTATCGTATGCATTCAACAAATGGTCTTAAATGTAATTATTTAGTTTTTTGTTAGGCTTATTGATTATGTATTGAATTGATAATTAGCATCTAAATTGGATGATGTGCGTCTAATTTTGTTAGTCGCTGAAAGCCATTTTTCTTGTACTGATTTAATTGGCTCCTCAAACAACCTAACCACGTCAGGTATCGTATATGCTGAGACCAATAACAAAAGATTTTTATGGGTAAACACCTATACATGTTGATTTACAAAAAACGACAGTAGTATGTCACTTACATTAGGGTCCAAACGCATCTACCAGAACACAACCACAACCTGTCATCATCCAGGTGGTGATAGATGCAAAAACAGCTCATCAAATGATCTGATAAGTTTGGAGTCGAATGAAGATGTCAATAATAGTTGAATCCACACTGAATCACGCACCATGCGATTAGAGTTGTTTCATGATGTATGGATTTTTGTTTTTCTCAATTTGTAAGGGGTGACTTGAGATTAAAAATAAAAATAAAAATCTTAACGTTAAGAGTTATGAAAGAGAATTATTATTATTTTATAATTATGAATATGTATGATTGATAAATATTTAATTAAATATATTACATATAAATTAAATTATTTTTTACTGTAATAAGCTTTTAAATTATTATATTGATTTTAGAATGATTTTGTATTAGTTACTCATTTTAAAAAAAGGACTACTGATTTTTTTTTTAAAAGTTGGCCCACACTGCGTTGTGGATTAATGACATGTGAATTAAATCATCAATCACAAAAGAAAAAAAAAAGACACTAAAATGTTAACGTTGATTTAACTTACAGCCTACATCCACAAATGAAAGAGAAAGAAGATAATATCTCAAAGAATTAGAAGTGAAATATAGAAACTCATACAACTTAATAAGCCATAAAACATAGTGTAAAAAATCCCAAGAAGAGGCCAAATCATATAATGCTCTCCAAGGACCCAAAACAAATGGTATCCCATGAAGGATCAACAGGAGATGATGAGGCAATGGTCAAGTCTCAATTATTCTAGTAATGAAATCATCAGGTCTCATGAACAGTAACTAAAGAGATATTGATGAAAAATAAAGTTGTAGATAGAACAATTATATAGGAATGCCTTTTCAACAAAGCACGTGTTATGCCTTAAAAATCAAGCTGACATAAGTTGATGTGAGCGACCATTAATAAGAATGCCGGAGGTTTTGTATCATCTACAATCTGCCACATCATCTAAAACAAAGAGAACATAATTGCCAACAACCTAACTACTCAAGTTTTGTTATTAAGTAAATTTGGCTCATATACCTATTCAAGTCCTATTTAATTTAAAGATATTTCTTAAGTTCTCAACTAATGAAAAAACGGGATGAATTTGCATGGTACTAACCCACTTATAGACGTGTAATCATTACCTTGAGTTCAGTGGGGTATAAATAGGTAGCTCTCCTTCACAAAACCGGGATTAGACATTCTAAATCCAACAAAAAAATATAACAAAAACACATTATGGGAAAGAAACTGTCTTAATATTCTTTAAGAACACTTAGAACACCAAGCACCTGTAACCCATATCGCAGTCCATAACCTCTTGTAATCTTGGCTAATAACCAAAAACACACTCATATAAAAGAAAACAGTGAATATAGGATTCGCTTTAAGCATCTGAACCACTATAAAAATATTTACCGTCTCATTTACTTTTACGTCTTTGCATATGTGAAAATAGTACTCCATCTATCCAACTCTCATAATTAATTATCTCACATGTAACTTCTTAGCATTTCACTACGTACAAAGTTGTTGATGTCAAAATCAAACATCAACACCGTGAAACACGTTTTGGATAATTTATAAGAATCTGCCTTTGATTAAGAAAAATAATCATACCAGAGCCATTAAAGCGCATATTGCTATTTTCAGGGAAAAGATAAAGAAATTTTATTCAAAAAGATATTGAACTCTCCTTTTGTTTTCATATATAGCTAGTTCCCTTTTTTAATGCTAAACAAACTTAATTAAAAAATTTAATATCAGTTTTAAGGACAGGGATAACGATTCAATTTATTAATTAAAACGATGATTGTTACTATCAAAGTGAATATCAGCAAACGGGGATTGCCAGTGCCACTTTCACAAGATAAAAGATCAAAAGCCAGAACTTTGGTTTTAAAAACTCCAGGATGTTCACACTTGAAAATTATATAAATTCATGTAAAAAAAAAAAAAAACACAAGAAAAGATGAGTATTATTATTATATATACAAAACTCATCTTCATCAGTCTTACAAAGATAAACTCGTAGAAAATTAATGTTTTAGTTGCATACCGGAGGTGAATTTTGAATGCATTGCCATGTTCCGTATTCCAGTATTGCAGGAGCGGCCTTCTGATATTCTGTTTTTCTCAGAACAGTGCGGTCGTTTACGTAATTTGTCATGACCCAATTTTGGTCAAGAATGTAGGCAGATTTGCAATTCTGGGAGATCTTTGAATAAAGCTTTGATACGATTCCATAATCAAACGTAGTATTTGAAGCAACGGGGCATATGAAATCATAGCAACCTTCTGTGTTTACTTTTAGAGGATCACAAGCAGAAATTGTCAGACACCCACCAGTTGTTGAACCACTCTCATCAGTTTTGTCGATCTTCGCATACTTTTTACAACCAGTGGCAATAAAGCTATTGTGCTTACTTGTAAAGAAAAATGGTGAGTCTGTAAGGTTAATACCTGTAGAGGTGTTTTTTAAAGAAATTGCAGGCATTTCGACGCCTATCCCGAAGCTCATAGCAGCGGTGTCTTCTGCTAGTTTCAGCTTCATCTTCGTCAAGAAAGGTTGTCCAGAGGGAGTAGAAGAGCTGTTGCAGGTTATTTCAAACCATTCATTGAAGAAGCAGCCTGCTCCAATTCCGAAGGGATAGTTTATTTGGACTTTACCACAACTCGTTGGACATGAAGCTTCTGATGCTTTGAAATTGATTGTCCAGAGTAACAAACTGATTATGATCTGCAACAACAACAAATGAGGATGATTAATGGCCATAATTAATTACTTTTGGCAGCCCCTCCTTTTCTTTGAGAATTGATATCGTGGAGATTCAACATAAACGATCGCTACATATAGAAATGGAAGAATATGTAGACCACCCTTGAGGTTTTTCAGTTTATTGTTTGGATGATAATTTTAACACTATTTACTAATGAAACCTTAAAGTTTGAAGAATGTATCTCTGATACTCCTTTATATCCTGTTAAATGGACCCTTAAATTTTAAAAAACTTTATCAATGATACCCTTTTACCCTGATTTCGTTACATTATAATTTGGTTTACAAAACACTTTCTTATAAGTTCAAAATTATATATAATATATATCTGTATTAAATTCAATGTTTTAAAAAAAAAAATAAAGAATGTATTAATTTATACAATTAAATAATATATTGATAATTTAAAAAATTTCCATGGTTTAAAGGATATTAATTTATCCTATCTTAATTGTATATTAAAATGATAAACCTAGATTATAATTGACCAATAATTAAGGGTGGATTAAATCATTTTCTCTATAGAAATTTCAAATTCGTATTTTGATGCTCACATCACATCAAATGCATGGGGCCGTTCCACCATTAAAGTATGTGGGTCTCTGAATCCGGTCTCGACTCTTGAGAAGAAAAATAAACAAAGTAACAAATGCATGGGGCCGTTCCACCATTGAATAGATGATTTCATCCAAGTGATGTCATCCTTGTGACGTATGAATGGTTCTTGTGGACAAAGTTGAAAAAGACTGAACCATTGTCGGAGGCACTGTTTGCTTTTTCTTAGAAATTTCTGTTACTTTAGGGTTTTTTTAAGAATTTTGTGTATATGTATTTTTTATAATATTAAAAATGACTTGAAAAGATAAAAAATAAAAACATAGTATATTTTTCTGAAAATAAAATTTCAAAATGTGAAAAATAAAAATACATTCGACATACTTGTCTGAATATAAAGAAAAAAAATAAAATCTATCACTTATTTTATCCCTATCAAATAATTTATCTTAAATACACAAGTGTTTAATTTCTATTAGTAATTCCTTGTTGAACCGAAAGTTTTTACTTTAAGAGGGAAAAGAGTAAAATATAATATAAAAAAGAGAATATAACTTTTAATTGGAAAAAGTGTCATGAACTTTCTCTCTCTTCTGTCTTTCTTCCGATGTTTTTGGGTTGGATGTATTGAGCATTGTTTTTTACAATCTCAACAGGATAAGCCCGTGCTTGTTTAGGAACTCATATGGTGGGCTATGTTTGTTTCTGAAAAGTAATTATTGACTCTAACACAGTTTAATGGTCTAACTTTGATATCATAATAAAATTTGAGAAAGGTCTAATTCTTTATCCAATAAAATCTTATTAAATAAGAGAATTATCTCCTTTTATAAATCAGTAAATTTGAGCATGCTTAATCCGTGGTAGATCTGGCTGAAAAAGGTCATATCGACGTTATACCCGTCAGATCCGACCGATATGTATAATTATGTAATTTTTTTGCCAGATTCTGGTAGTGGTGGTCGGAATCTGGCACTGTGGATGATAGGGGTGTTTTTATGATTTTATAATTTTTTGCTATATTGGGGTGTTTATTAAATTAGTAAACCTAGGGGGTTTTTTTATAAATTTTTAAATTTTACCTCGTAATACTCTCCTATTCAACTACCCAATATTATTCTCAAAATACTATCGAAAATAATAAAACAAACGGACCCTTTTTATCAATTTACCCATCTAACACTAACGCAACATAACAAAGTTAGGGTAAAGGGGTATCAGTGATATAGTTTTCAAAATTTAAAGGTCCATGTGATTAAAAAAAAAAAAAAATTATCATTCAATTATAAATGTTCTCTTTATAGAAATAAATATTCTTAATATTGCTCAAATAACACATCCGTGGGTAGCCTAGACGGTTAGGGCGAATTGAGGATAGTGCAGATAGACACACAGTCTCAGGCTTGATTCCCCATTTGAGCATTCGCGATTTAAGTGGAAGGTCATGACGGTGGGTTGCTCCGTTAGTCTCTCACGAGGATTAGTCCAGGTGCTCGTAAGCTAGCTTGGACACCTTGGTTAAAAATAAATAAATAAATAATGCTCAAATAACAATACTGCGTCCACAATCAAGGGTACGTGAGTCTTTGGAAAAATACAATAATCATCAGGGCCCTTTAATAAAAAGAGTGAAACACAAATATTTGTTTAACAGAAACTAAAATGTATTTGTATAAAAGCTTCTATCTTTATTAGGTATGAACCTAACTTAATTTAGGTACATTTTATCATATACTTAGATTTTTATAAGTGTTAGTCGACAATTATTTTATTTTCTTTGGGCATGTTAATTTATGTTAATCGGATTTGAGGTGCATGAGACATTAACTAAAGGTTAATGCATTACGTACTCTAATACAAACGATTTCTTGTTAAATAAAAACTAAATAGATATTCCTGTTGTACAAAGGTCACTAAGGCAGAAGGGAGTTATCTATAAGCAACTTCGAAATTATTGAAAGGGTGATATGATCCTTCTGATGTATCAATTGATCGTGTGAAGGTGTCTTGATTCTCCATTGGAAGAAACCTGGAGGCTTCAAGAGATGATTAAATTTCATGGAGGTGATTAATATATTACAATGCAAGACCTAGATTACAGTTGACAAAAAAATTCAGGGTGGATTAAATCATTCTCAAATTAGGATTCTTGATGCTAAGTGCTCACATCACATGCATAGCGGCGTTCCACCATTAACGTAGGTGGGTCTCTGAATCCGGTCCAAGAAGAAAGATAAAAAAAAAGTAACAAATAATTGAGGTTGGTGTGTCAAAAAGCTCAGACAAAACTTTGTTTAACAGAAAATAAAATGTACAGAAAATATATTTTAATGGCTCATATTCCTAACTTGAATCATGCATTTAGATTTTGAAATTATTGAATAGGTGATGTCATCCTTGTGATGTATGAATGGATTTAACCCTTGGATTGATATGGAAACAAGGTACTAAGTATTTTTTTTTTTAATAAAAAGTTGAAAAAGACTGAAACCATTTTTGTCATTTGTTGTTGGAAGAAAAGTATTTGGAGAAGTAGCTTTGCTTAATTGCTCTCTAGTTTCCCGGAGACACTACTTGCTTTTCTTAGAAATTTCATTAACTTTACTAAATATAAATTTGTTGGCACAGTGAGCCTCCACGGTCAACCAGTTACTCTCAGTAATGGTCATCAGGTCCTGCGAATAGAAACTAAAGTGAGTTTGATGCAAATAAAACAATTATATAAGAATTTTGGACGATTACATAAAATTGCCTTTTTTACAAACCATGAAACACGTTTCGGATCATTTATAAGAATCTCCTTTTACAATCCACTAGAAGCACGTCTTGTTAAAGTCTTCTGAATTAGATGGGTACGTGTCTGAGTGCTTTGGTGTGTTCGAGGGACGTATTGTCAAAGTCTCTTCTTTCAAGAAATGTACGCCTCTGGCCCTTACAGCTCACTTCTTCCTCCTTTTTAAGCCTTCATACTTTTAATTTTACTTTCATGGATATTCACGTGGTGGGTTTTCACCGTCGGATCAATTATTCACAATAAAGTTAATATTACTGATTGATGTTCACTGTAGTCCTGATTTCTTCTACCATCTAATGTTAGAAACTAACCCGTCCGGTCCGATCCAACCCGGCCCACGCTAGGTTACTGATTTTGGCAGCCGATCCTAACCCATCCGCCAACAAGGGCAGACCGGGTTAGGCCCATCATTTTTTGGGGATTTGCTGGCCCAGCCCGACCCATCGGGTTATGCTGCAGGCCGGGCCGGGTTAGCCCTCTTTTTATTTTTTATTTTATTTTATTTTGTTTAATTAACTTTTTAAATAAATAATTAACAATTTATAAATGAATAAATGTAATTGTTTTTACTTAACTTTTTAAATATCAATAATTCAATTAAATTAATTTTTTTTTTTGTTAACATTTCAAATATTAATTCAATTTTAATACAATAAAATTATAATATAAGAAAAATTAGATTTATTCATTTATCAAAAAATGAAATAAGAAATTATAACAATTATTGTCTCGTTAAAAACCTCACCAAGAAAAACCAAATGGGACAAAAACTTGGTAAAGAAAAAAGAGTGCAATAATTGACAATTAATTTACAAGTTACAATTTACAAAACAACTAATTTGAGAGTGGTTGACTAAGATCTCCCTCATCCGTATTATCTACATTACAAAATTGAAATAATTCTATTAAAGTATCGTCAACAACCTCGTATTGATTTTGATGGAGCGACCGTTCCCAATCTCAAAGACATGTGAGGACTTCAATCATTTTTGGAGAAAGTTTAATCCTCATTTCATTTAAAATTCTTCCACTTGTAGTAAATGTTTGTTCGGATGAGACGGTTGAGACGGGAACAGCAAAAACATCCAAGGCAAGTCTTGATAATACTGGAAAAATACATTTTCTAGCTTTCCAATATTCTAAGACATCAAAGTTGGCTTTCTGTTATGGATCTGCTGGTAACATTTCGAGGGTTGCCAATTATTGTTGAAGCTCATTACTCTGTGACTGCATGGAGGACAGTATATTAGTTGTTGTTGTTGGTGGTGGTGCTTCTGAAGGGGAGGCTATGCTTCGGATTCGGGTCTTCTTCGGCTTATTCAGTGCACTCCAGAAGTAGAAGTCTTCATTTGTTTCTTCTGATGCAATTTCCCTAGATCTTTCGCCTCTTTGTGGGTTCCCATACCTGTTTTCATATTTTAAATATACTTTTGCAAGACAATTTTTTACCTCTCCTATTTTATTGGCATATGCTTCGGTTTGTAAATATTCACTTAAATTGTCAAAACCATTTTCTAAACCTGCTAATTTAATTCTAGGATCAAATATAGCACCTAAACAATAGAGAAAAGGAATGGGTTCCCAATATTTAAAAAAAAAAAAATTCATTGCCTTTATTGGTTCCTTTAAAATTTCATTGTTTTTGTTT